ATTTAAACTCTAACATAACAACCATACCTTTGGTTAATTGGTAAAGATACATGTACTTGATGCCCTGCTCAAGAGAGAGACTAAGTCCTAGTAGCTCTGCTAAATGGTGATTCAACATAGATTTTACATCTTGTATGCACGAGAAAAGACCTCCCCTTCTTCTCCCTTCGCTTTAGCTCCTTATGAGAAGCGCTTAGCGAGGGCTTTCTTCTATCTCTGATTCACCACCCCTAGGGCATGCGGGGGAAACTCAAAACTCGAATGTGTTAAGCAAAAAACAAAATAATCAATTAATAGGTTCTATTCTTCTCCCCGCTTTGAGTAAGATATGTCGTCTCTTACTTCATTCCTTCCTAATGTCAAGAAGATGTAATCATACCTTACTTCTCATTGTCAACTTGTATTTATAGTTAACTAAGAAAGCACAAAAGACTAGTATACCTATAGAAAAATATATGTATTACAACTATATAAAATAATAACAATATAATAATAATACTCTCAACATTTTCCTCAAGTTGGAGTGTGTGTATATATATATATATATCATATAATTCAAGTTTGGAATAAATGGATGTAAAATGAGGACGACTCAATGTTTTGGTAAACATATCTGTAAGTTAATCCTCAGATTTCAAAAATGGTGTTGTAATATCTCTATTTAGTATTTTTACATGAATAAAGTGATAATTAACTTCATATGTTTGGTCCTTTCATGGAATACGAGATTAGCAGCAATGTGCAGAGCTGCATGATTATCACTGAACAACTGTAAGGGAAGTAAGACTGAAAAATCAATTTTCCAAAGAAAGTGGAGTAACCATATCAACTCACTCGTGGTATGTGTCATCGATCTATTCTCAGCCTCAGCACTAGACCGTGCTATTACTGTTTGTCTCTTACTTTTCTATGTAATTACGTTACCTCTCGAGAAAGTACAATATCCAGTAGTTGATCTTCGATCCAAGGAAGAAAACCCATTTAGCATTTATAAAACTTTCCACTTTAAGATGTCCATTGGCTCGATGCAATAACTCAAGTCCAGGAATGCCATCGACTGTATCTCAATGTGGTATTCTAGGGTATCCTATAAATTGCCTCACGACACTAACTGCATATGCAATATTTGGTCGGATAATAGTAAAATAATTTAGCTTCCCGATTGACCTGCGATACCGACCAAGATTTTCAAATAGTGTACCATTATCCATCAACAACTTGGTTTGATTCTATAGGACATCGATTGGTTTGTCACTGAGCAAACTTGTTTTCTCTAGCATGTCCATTATATATTTTCTCTAAGACAAATAAATGTCTTGCTTACATCTGTCAACTTCAATACCTAGAAGTACCTGAGTTTGTCTTTGATATGAAATCTATGAATGTGGAGGCTAGGGTTTTAGAGAGAGAAAATCAGAGGAGTTGGAGATATTATATCTCACGTCTCTTCATTCCATATATATGTGTATGTAATAATAATGAAAAAACACTTGTACCCCTTAAGGAGTATCCCTCTCACAAGATCATGCCATCGTTGTCTACTTCTTACTCTTCTATATAACCAGATTGTCTCCCAGAAAGGTACAATATCCTGTAGTAGAACGTCTATCTGAAGGAGATCCTGTCTAATTTGCAGCTGTGAACCCTTCCAATTTAAGATACCCATGCGACCGATATAACAATCCAAGTCCGGAGCTAGCTTGAGATAGCGAATAATACGAATGATGGCATCCCAATGTGGTTGACGAGTCTCCATAAACTGACTAACCACGCTCACTGCATATGAGATATTTAGTCGAGTAATAGTGAGGTAATTCAACTTCCCAACTAGATAGTGATACCGTCTAGGATCAGAGAAACATTCAACCTCAGTCACTGAGAGTTTATGATTTGGATCCATTGGGATGTCAACTACCTGATCACCTAAAAACCTTGTTTCCTCCAAAAGATCAAGTACATATTTTCTTTGGGATAAACTAAGTCCCAGTTTAGATCTAGCAACTTCGAAACTAAGAATGTATCTAAGTTTACTTAAATCTTTGGTATGAAACTAATGTTGTACAAACTTTCAACTTTACAATACCCCTGGAATCATCAACATAAACAACTAGGATATTATCTACCCCAGTTCATAGATGAAATATCGAGTGATCTGTTTGGCAGACTAAACTTTAACACTGCCTCTAAACATTTCCCAAACCATGCATGCGGAGATTATTTCAAACCATACAAGGCTTTCTTTAGTTTACACACAAAACCTTGCTCGTCCCCCTGAGCAACAAACGTAGGTGGTTGCTCTATCTAAACCTCTTCTGCATAGATCACTATATAAGAAAACATTCTTGACATCTATTTGAAATAAGTTGAAGCAAGGGCTAGTCAAGATTAGCAGCAAGCAAAATTAAAACTCTGATAGAAGAGATTTTAGCGACTATAGAAAAGGTCTCAGAATAGTCAACATCATGGTTTTAGGTATATCCTTTGGCAACCAAACGAGCTTTGAGACTATTTGCAGTGCCATTAGGAAGAAATTTAATGGTATATACCCAACGACACCCAACAACTTGCTTACTAAGTGGGAACTCAACAAGATCCCAAGCCTGATTATAATGGAGAGCATTCATCTCGTCCTCCATAGCTGTCCTCCCACCCGAATCCAATAAGGCATTTGTTAAAGTCTTAGGAACAAATGTTTTGGATAATTGAGAAGTAAAACAGGAAAATGAAAGAGATAACAAATGGGAAGAAACATAGTTAGTGATGGGATGGTTAGTAGCATAGGAACGAGTACCTTTACGGAGAGCAAGCAATATGGAGAGAATTAGACATGTCAGAAGAGGTTGGATCTGAATACGACGAGGAAGTTGGTGGTGGAGCTGTAGCAGGGGGCCTCAACCGACGAATATAAACACGAGTTGGTCAAAAAGATTTTTAACTTTGCAATACCCTAAGAATTATTATCAGTAATTACAATTTCATCAAAATAAAAAACTAGTATAATGTACCCCGCATCAATTTGTTTGTGGAAAACTGGATAGTCTGTCTAACATCTGAGAAGATTAAATTCTAAAATTGTTTCTGAAAATTTACCAAACCATGTCCTTGGTGACTGTTTTAAGCCATATAAAGATTTTTTTAGTTGATAGACACTCTTATGGTACTCCTTCAGAGTAGCAAACTTAGGTGGTTGCTCCATGTAGACTTCCTTAGCTAAGTCACTGTGTAACAAGACATTTTTCACATCTAACTGAAATAAAAAGCAATCAAGATTAGCAGCCAAAGAAATCAATACACGAATATAAATATAATTAGTCCCATTGAGCTTGACGTCATAGGAACATGATAGAAAGAGAACGAGAGAGATTTGGTGGAAAGCCAAAAGGAAGAGCATTGTTGTCAACTATGTTGTGGAATCTGTAGCCATATTTTTGAAAGTAGAGCAACTAAGGGGTTGTAACCGGGTGGAATGAAAGTTGGAAATAACCCTCTAAACATTTGAATCGAACAAAAAGAAATAGGAAGCAACCAAAGATCAAAATATTGTGTCAAAATGTCTGAAACATTTTCTATTTTCAACACACTGACATGAAACAAGGGTGAAAAACTAAAATTCCTATGTTTCGAGTGAAACGTCAATGTTTTAGACCGTTTTAGTTGAAACATTGACTTGAGTCGATTGGTATTAGAAAATTGTCGTTCCAAGCCCAAAAAAAAAAGAGAGAGATTCTTCACATGAGATCCAGTCTTAAGCAAAACAGAGAGAGAGCAAGCCCGAAAATCGAAAGAAAGAGAAAGTTTAGTAGCTTACCTCCCTAAGTCTAGATCTAAGCCACCCTCCACTCCCACGGTCCGGATTTAGCCTCCTCCAGGTATGAGCTTGTTCCTTTCTCTTCTTTTTCTTCTCTTTTTCTTCCTTCTTCTGTGTTGGGTCTTCATCGAGCCTCTGTCTCGCTCTAATCTACAGATCTAGGAAGCGTATTGCACCCTCTTTATCTCAGATCTACAAATCTGGATGGGGATGGTAGCTAGCGAGCCTTGCGAGTGGGTCTTAGATCTTCTCTCTCGTAAGTCTGTGTCCGTTCTCTCTCTCTCTCTCTTTTTTGCTCGTTCATTCTGTTGAGAAGAGAAGAGAAGAGAGAATGACCGACTGTTTTGACTCTTCCCCCTTTTTTTTCTTTTATCTTTGTTTTTTTTTTCCAGCTATTTTATATTTGTTAATTCAGTTAATGTCCTTTTCCCCCTTTTTTTCTTTTATCATTTATTCATTATTAATAACCATTGTTATAATCATCTCTCTCTCTCTTTTTTTTTCTCTTTTTCCTTTTATTCTTGTATATTATTATTATTTACTAAATTGGTATATTAATAATATACTTTGTTTATTAAATAGATGCAATTAATTTTATGGTATATACCTTATTTACTAAATATATGAAATTAAATATTTGTGTTTCAAAATTGTTTATACAATGATTTTAATATTTATGGAATAATTTTACTTATTAATTTGATAACACAATTTAAAATTAAGTGTTTGAAACTAGTTGAAGTGATTTCTTCCGCGTGTGAAGCCTTTTTTCCCCTTCCAATTTGATGTTATCTTGTATAAATGAATGTTCACCCACTAAATATACTCAATTAATCAATTATTAACCTTTTCTTTATAAATAAATGAATTGCATTTATATTTCCTTTTCATATTTTTTTTTTCGTTGCATTTTCGAAATGTTTTCATTTTCGAGCTGACCAATGCGGTACACCGAAACGATATTTTGATCCTTGGAACCAACTCCTAAACCAACGGAACCAAGAAGAAGAGGACTAGAACAGGGTTAAAAGCAGTGAAGCAAACCTGTTACCTGCTGAACCAGAACAGAGAATTGGACAGAGTAGGTGAGAAGCAGCAAGAACGGGATAACAAGAAGCTTGAACCAGGTTGAAACAGTCTTAAGAAGATTTGTTTGAACGGGGAAAAAATTGGTCTGATCTAGACCAAACCGATGAAGAGACAGGTTGGGCTGGTTGAGTTGGGGCCTGGAACAGTTGGATTGGGCCAGAGTGGATTTGGGTTGGTATTTGTTGGATTAGAGGACCCAACTAAGTCGTGGGTTAAGGAATCTTGGCCACAGACCTGTAATGTTGGGCTGGGCCTTTGTTTGTTTGTTTAAACAATGAACTTGGATTTGGGTTTTATCTAACCCGCAGCGAGGGGCTGTGAACCCTAGTGACTGGCGGTTTCAACGGCAATGATGATCAAGCCGAAAACAACAAACAACAACATCTTGGACAATGATAACAACCAAACATTTGTAGCGATGTCACACAAAGCAGATTACTTGCGATTCAACGGATTGAAATCGCATCCAACAATGGCATCAACACTCACCTAAACATCACGATTTTGTCACACAATTGCAATCCAACGATCTTGAAGTGCACCACAGATAACACTTAGCCAACACCCACAGTCACCGTTAATTCTAAACAGAGTAGGAACCCTAGTTGGTGACCGTGGTCACATAGAATGGGGAAGGAAGAAAAAAAAAAGAAGGAAGAAGGGGAAGATCAGGTATTGGAAGAGCTTGAAAATAAAGATAAAAAAGTGAATTTCATATCAAATTAGTAGAATTTTGGTTCTGATACCATGTTAAGTTTAACAAGAGAATTGGAAGAAGAGAGGAGGCAAAGAAGATGTAATCATACCCTACCTCTCACTCTCAACTTGTATTTATAGTTAACGAAGAAAACATAAAAGACTAGTATACCTTTAGATAAATGATATAAAATAATAACAATATAATAATGATACTCTCAACATATTAAAATTGGAGAAAAGATATATTCAATGCTTGAGCTTCCATTAATGAGAATTCAAAATTCTAGTCTTAGTACCAATGGTTTTTTTTTTGGCATAAGTGGCCAAAACATAGCATCCTTACCAAATAGGACTTAGGTTCACTCGCAAATTATCCTTTGCCTTGTTGTATGTAACTCACCTAGGTGGCTTTAGAAACCAATTAGGTGCATGAGAACTTATGACAATAAGAGTGTACTAGATATAAACCAAATACGCTGTTGGGCTCGTGTCTTTTAACTTATCTAAGGTAGTTTTACTTGGTCAAAATTCTAATTACTTAAATGAGCAACTGTTTTGGGTTAAAGATAATTTCTGTGATGGGTCTTATTTTGTTGGCTATGAATTTTTAGTAAGGTCAACCTTGTCTCTGCTCTACGAATATTTACTCAGTTCTATCTTGTGTTCAAACTTGGATACCAGGTTTTGTTCGTACACCATTGTCATCGCAGTAACCTATGTGTCTAATGTAGGAGATAAAGTGAATTGTTTTTGACGAATGTAACTTCAGATTGAATTTATCCTTTAGTTTCCAAGTTTCCTTTTGCTTTGAGTCATGGATCAAAATTTTATTTTGGTGCATTATTTTGGTCACCAAGAAACAAAAATGTGTCAGAAATATATATGTCAAAAATATTTCAAATACATAAGGAAAATGGAGAAAAAATTTCAAAATGTGTTTTTGAAATATTCCAAAACATTTGTCGACACATAACAAAATATCTCAAAACATTGAAATTTTGATATTCAATCACCGACTAATCTTGGTTTCCATGGAAATGAAAACATTTCGTCTATTTCAAAATGACATTTTGATCTTTGATTTGAGTTTAATTTTCAATCCCATGGCTCATTGGAACGGAGCCATTTTTTCTGGACTTTGCCAATTTATGGCCAAATGAATTATTGGTTCTGCATCATCTAGATATATCTTTACTTGGGTCCACCTACGTTACCGAAAAGTAACTTTTCGGTATTACTTTCCGGGTACCGTAATGCTTTCCATCTTTACTCGTATCTTTGGGTTCAATACCTAGGGTTTACATCGACAATTTCTGCACTTCATCAAATAACTGTCATGTCTGTGTGCCTATGTAATGTAGTCTGTCACCTTCACCTGAGAGACAAGATAGCTATTGTTTGACAAATTAGTATCTTCATCGGAGAAATTGTCCCAATGCAGCCACTAAATTTATGTTTCATTCTTGAGATGGCATTTCATTTTTTTTCCCGAATCTCTACTTCTAGTAATAATTGTTCTTGTGACGATTTCCTTGCACTTATCCTCTGCGTCAATTGGATGGCCTCATGATCTTATTTTCCCTTGGTTTCAAACTTTGGAACTTCTTAGGGTTTCACTCACGGAGTTTTGAGCTCTGGGATTTTATTTATAAGGTAAAATGATCTCTTACCAAACCTCACAAAACAGAAGAATTTTACCAATTTGATTAGTTTTTGGGGAATGAGAAAGAAACATATTTTTCCAGTGCATGTCCAGAGCAGTAAATCCCATTAGGTGGCTTGCCAGATAATCTTATTGGGACACATTAGATCTCTTACAACATAATCGTACAGCATGGTTGGTTCTCATTTTATATGCTTAATCCTGAGTATACTCTAACATCTAGAAAGAATTTTGAAGGATATGGGAATGAGATCCATGAGGTGAATTATACGCACTAGAAACCCTTGGTGTGGATTGGATTGTTCTTTTAGTGACTGTGCCTTGTATTTTCTTTGTCTACATTGATTCTAGGGATGGATTCTTTAAGGTTTCATAGCCTAATGATTATTTATTCTTACATTTTGATTGCAGACACTATGCAAAGGAACTGTGAGGCATCCTTAAAATGCCTCCAGAACAAGGGATACCCTTACACTTTACAGTTGCAGTGCAAGGGGAATCCCATTGAAGGCTGTCCAGAGCTCAAAGATGAGATCTATGCTAACCCAGGCAGGAACATTGTGGAACCAGACCGCTCGTTAAGCATTGAGCCCACTGAATCTTCAAATAAGTTTCGTGAAAATCACACCTACCAACATGATTTTGGCTCATGGTCAAACTTCTATGCTGACTCTAATGCTGTCCAACAGTCCCAATTGAATGCTTTTGATGGTCAATTTTACCCTTTCTTGGTGGACAATCAGTTCCAACATGCCCCTTTCAATATGTTCCCTCAAAGTTACCCTTATGAGTACCAATTCCAAGATTTCCAATATTTTGTGGTCATTGACTTTGAGGCTACGTGTGACAAGGAAAAGAATCCTCATCCTCAAGAGATAATTGAGTTCCCATCTGTAATTGTGAGTAGCATGACTGGCCAACTGGAAGCTTGTTTTCAGACATATGTGCGACCAACATGCAATCAGCTTCTGACTGACTTTTGCAAGGATCTGACTGGCATCCAGCAAATTCAGGTTTGTTCAGGTTTATAAAATACCTTACATTGTAAGTTGATGCATGGAAATGTTAATCATATGCTTGCCATATCAGCTTGGTATATCTGTTGGATTTGTTTGGTTTGAGTTGATGGCCTGAAATGTTACACGGCGCCATTATGCCACTCATTGATCACAAAATTGGGAAGACATAGGTTAGTCAATAGCATATATCACACATATGTTGAATTCCCTTGTTTTTTTGTGCTGTTTTTTTACTGATATCTTGGAATCATGAACATTGATTGGATAATTCATAATTGTCATACCACTTTTGTTTCAACTTCCTATGTTGCAGTTGCCACTAGGCTCACTTGTCTTTTGCCATTGGGAAAGGGGACCTAATTGGGAGAGTAGTATCCTTCCTTTATATAAATGGAGCAATGTGCTTCTCTGATAATCTGGTGGGAATTTGATAGGCTTGAGAGATATTAAAACCCAAAGCATGGCTTAGAGAAAAGGTCTTGCTGGCAGGTTATTTAGTTTGGCCCTTTCTCCTCTTTTAGCTCTGATTAAATACCCATTCCTGTTTTTGTGACTGAAAGCATTATATGAGGCTATTTCCTACCTAGTATTGGCAGTAATTGCAGTGAATGGAGGGATCATTGCCTGATGCACAATGAAGTGGATATTGCATATGATAGAATGTGCGTTAGATTATCTGTGTACTTTGTATGCGATCTAATGTTTCTCTCACACATGAAACATAATATAGCATGAGGAAGGGTGACTAGTAACTGAAGTCTAGTTGAGAATTGAGTTTCTAGTTCGTTGTTATAGGCATGTCAAGAGTCAACAGGGTGCTAGGGGTCTGAAAATTTATGTGATGAAAGGTAACCAACTAATGATTTCTAGCTAGTAGAATGGGCGATAGATTTTATTTAGTGTTGGGATACAACATTTTTATTGAGTGACAAGCTTGGAGAAAAAGGCAATGAAGAAAGAGAGGATAGGAGGATGCTATATGAGTGCCTTATAATTGCAGGATGCAAAAATTCATAATGATTCTTTTTTAATAGCAAACAATATCCTTATCCATATGCAATTTGTAGGGAAACACGACTTTTACACAATTTTCGTTTCGGAAAAAACACGGTGCTAGGTATAATACAAATCCAGGGTCAACCGGTCAGACCTATCATGGTGTCACTTGTGCAAAAACACGATGTTGGTTATATAGAAATTGTGTAGTAATCTTATTTTTTGTGTGGTGCTAGGATTCTCAAACATGATTAAGTAGGACTTCTTTCCCTAGATTTACTTGTGACTCTTTTGTAATGGGGAAGTGTGACGCCTTACCAACTTGCTTTTTTTCTTTCTTCTTTTGTAGCTCTTTTACCATAGTTTACCTTTTCAGTAAGTACACTGTTATAGATGTGTCTTTTACTTTGAGCAATTTAGATAAGTGGAAACAATAGGTTACTCAAAATTCTTCTATGTACTTATTATAACATATCATTACATTCATATTACTTGTATACTTTGAATTCTAAATAATTATTAGCTATTATTGTGTGCTAGGATTTGGTATTAAGTAATAATGATCTTGAGCACAAATCTTTAGTGGACAGGCATTCATTACATGAAGGAGGTGCTTTGAAGCTTATTGCTTGGACCACTGTGGGCGAGGATAGAAGAAAAATTGTGTCCAGCAAAATGATTGAAAACTGTAAGGTACTTGGAATTTATTCTTCACGGTCTATGCCACAAGGCCTAATTTCTGAGTAAAGGTGGATTGTAGTGGGTTTTGGTGGGTTGGTGAGAATGCATGGATTGTTAGGACTGAGGTATAAGATCCCAAGGAGGCCATTTTGTGAAAGTGAACGTCCCTGGTCTTCTTGTTGTTTGTAAGTGTGTCAGTGGGTATCCAACCAACTTACTACTCTGTGTATTAGAAACCAACTACTCAACTATGGGTATGACATTGAAAAATGGAATATGTTATTTTGAAAACATGGAGCCAAAGTGATTGGTTCACTTCTGGGTGGTTGAATTGAAGAACCATTCAGAATGGAGACAATTTTGGCACCTGCGGTGGGTTAAATCTAACCCTCCTCCTATGGTCCCCCTACTCAACAGTGGTATTCAAAACATCTTGTATTTGCGAAAGGAAAAAATGTTGATTTTCAGATCGTAAAAAACAGTAAGATTGAATCAGTATTAAACCACTATAAGGTATTGGGTAAATTAGAATTAATAGATATGTTGTCCACTCTCGTACCCCCTCTTGAAATTTGTTACATATTCCACATTGGAATATGGAATTGGGACCATCATTCCGGGGATCTAATTCAGTAAATCTGTTTGGCTATATACGAATACTGTTATCGCTTTAGTTCAAATAGAGAACAGTATTGGTGGGTTTTTTTCCCCATCTTATTACTCTAAAAATAAGGATAAGAATGAGTTATCTCATACAGTACTGAAAGGTGCTTTGAGGGTGTCATTGACAGAAACCGGAGCCACCAATAAGAAAGAAACTGAATTTAGCATGGGTGCTTCTGGGAATACAGGAATCTAGTCAAAATGGAACAATTAACACCCATATTTGCGTGGTAATTAGAGGATCCTTGAATAACTAGAGGCAGCAGTTTTTTTGGAACTGGTAGATGCGGCAGTTGAAACCAAATCAATTTTGACTCTGAACTTGGTTGCCTGTTGGTACTCATGTATGGCACACATTAGAGGGGTTCGGTATGCCTACTTTTTGAAGGCTTGCCTTAAATTTGCCCTTGTAGTCATTTCTAGGCTTCTGGTAGCTCTTGCCACCACCTTAGTTTAATGTACTAGATGCTGGATCATCCAAGTGGTTATGATTGCTGAGGGGGCCTGATCAGATTAACCTGGCTTTTTTTTTTTATTCTAATCAGGTTAGGGTTTTTTTAAAAAATAATTTTGCTTGTCGTCAAAACTATCATATGCTAATCATGTGATTATTATTGTTAAAATAAAGGTCATGTGTCAGTCAAGTGAGTCCCTTAAGTAAGGGTTATGTGGTCTTTTCATGTTGTTAGGGTAAACACTAGAGTGTTCTAAAATTATGACCACTGATTGTAACAGCTGGCAGGAGCAGTTGATTGTCGTTTTCCCCAAGAAATTCATATTTCCAGTCATTCCTTGGTGTCTCACAGCCCCCAGAATCAGTATATTTTTTGTTCTCACCTTGCTTCTTGTACACTTTTAGAGCTCTATAGGTGTTTATTATCAATTTTTACTCTGTTCGCTATGTTTCTAGCTTTTCGGCGAGAACAAAGTCCTTGCTGCATCAGTCCATCCTGCACTCATCTTTGAAGATTTGTACGAAAACATTTCACTTGCAATTTTTCTTGTCGTTTAATTGCTGGCTAGGGTTTCCCACTCTCCCATCCCACCGGGGTGCATTTCTATACCCTCTTATTTCTTATTAATGTGTCTCCCTCCTATCAAACACTTCCATCAAGTTTTGACAAAAATAAGTAAATGTGGAGTCACTCTAATGTGAAATTTTTGGGTCCTGTTAAGAAAAACATTTTTTATTACACTTCTTCATTAATAAATAATGAAAAGTTTTACATTATCCAAGAAAAGGTGGACAAGACACCCAACCCAGAGAACTTCCAAAAAAAAACCCATCCTCACACATATTAATAACCAAAAGAAGTTGTCCAACTTATGGATGCAAAAAAGAGGAACATTTTCAAAATCCTTCGCCACTGAACTCCAAAAAGAAACTAAGAAGTAGATCTGATCCCACATCCCTTTGGCCACTTCCTTATTGTCTTCAAAGCTTCAATTTCTCTCCAACCAAATAACCCACACAATGGCTAAGAAAGTACAATGCAAAAAAGTACCACCCCTTCCTACTCCACCCAACCCTTTAAAATCCAAGCACCATGTAAATGATAGTCCTCATATAATTTATTTCATAACGATAATTCAATAGGATAATGTACAAATAAATGGTCCACGCTTTCACAACTCCCGTTTCGCATAATGCACCATTGCGGGCAGAAATTACTGTAAGGTCTCCTTCTTTAGAGCATATTATTGGTATTAATTTTGTTGGGAGCAATCTCCCACGTACAAACTTGCAATTTCAAAGGCAATTTAGGCTTCCAAATCTTTAGTGACACTGAAAAGAGAGGAATATCAATCAAAGATTCAAAGAAATACATACATGAGAAGGAATTGGAATGATCAACAACCCAACATCTTTTATCCAACAAATTAACATCAAAAGTAATTGAGTCAAAGCATAGAAAGAAGTTACACCAACTCCAACTCGCTATCAGTAAGATTTCTACAAAAACCAAAATCTCAAGACATTGGACGGGAAGTGGACCTCGACAAGGATGCAACACTACAACCTTGACAGTGAGCCGAAATAAACGAGGAAATAAAACTGAAAGGAACAAATTCCCTACCCACCTATCCTCTCAAAACCTAACTCTCAACCCATTACTCAAACTGAGCTTGAGCTTTTGAGAAAAACAGGGTATCCCTTGAGAAATGAATGTCCATGGATTCATTAGTTTTCCCTATTAACCCTATTAGTATCTCACCCATTAGCTTGCAATCCGTACTTGCTTTTAATAACCGAATGTCATAATGCATTTTGCACCAATGGAAGCCTCCAAAATCATTTTCCGACCAAAGTCATATTCATAGCCATCAAATTGCCCAGCAAAAGCCACCTTACAATCCACCTACTGCCTTTGCCTAGTAATTGCAATAACTCAGCTACACACATCTATAAAATTTCAATTCTACTTGCACTAGCTATTTCAAAATTAGAAGAAGAGAAAACAAGTTGTTGATACTTGTATAATCTTTCTTGCTAGAGAAGAATTGAGTTCTTGAAAATGTTGAGAAGCTTTTTAAGTTTTGTATAAAGCTTAAAAATGTTGAGAACCTGTATACTTGAAAATGTTGAGAACCTCCCTGGTTGAGACCCATATGATGAATTCGTTTATGGGATTGGGTCTTTGGATTTTGGGATTGTTGGAATTGCTGGAGGTGAGATCGGTGCAAGGCATTAGGGCGGTGAAATGGTGTAAGGAATGGGCACATTCTTGAGAGCAAGAAATAGAGCACTAATCAACTCTCTGAGACCGACTGAAGAAGAAGAAGAAGAACAATGCATATGCATACATATTGATAGATAGATAGTGGGATTTATAGAGAGAACCTGTAGGGGGAAGAGGGGCAAGAGAAGAAGAAGAAGAGAGTGGTGGTGGGGTCACTAGTATGGCTAACAGAATCTTCGATCATATCAAGGAAGCATCAGCCAATTGCTGGTGTTGGGTAGTCCTCCATTCTCAAAATGAAGGCTCAACTCAATGTGTGTCACAGCCTGCAACTTGCCAAACACTAAATATTCAAACTCAACAAAGCATAACAGTGGAATATGACGGCACAACTTCTACTTTTTACCTTCATTATTCGCAAGACTAGAATATAATAGGGAAAAAAGCACCGAACGACATGGTGATTATTAGAAAGTACATATTTAGAATCAGACAAAAGATGTTCTTAAACGAAAAGAGAAGGAGAAAAATTTAGAAAAAATGAAGATGAAAGAAGAGTATTGTGACCAATAGGAAGATGAAGAAAGAGAAGGACAAAATTAGAGAAGTCTAGGCAGAAGTTGGAAGTCTGTTTGCCAAGTGGAGAAGAAACAGACTAATATGAAGAGAGAGGGAGAAGACTTTGCGGTCGAGCTTAAGAGAGAGTTTGTATGATCTCAGTTTCAGGTCTCATCCTCTAGTTGAGGTTGTCGAGCTTGATAAATTTTATCCCCTTCTTGACACTACACATGGCAAGTCTTAAACTTCTCTTTAAGACTTACCAAGTTGATGGATTCAATGACCAAAATGCATAATTGAATGAAGAAAAAAAAAAAGGAAAGAGGGGGGGGGGGGAGAGGGAAAAAAAGACCACCTTTACCTAGGGCTTAGGCTGGAGGCCTGTCCAGATTGGAATGCCTCACGAAATATGATAACTATTTTATTTTAGAATGCTAAATTTTGTTGTTGTCATTGATCATCTACTCTTTATAAGAAAAGTTATGCCTAGAAATAGCTGAAAACATTTCCTATGCATGGGACACGTGTAGGCTTACCCCAAGTGTACCACCTGTTAGTGGCCAGAGTACTGTATCCTCAGGGAATGTGCCCTGCAAAATTGAGTAAGTACCACCCATTAGTGTCCAGAGTATTGTGACCTCTGGGAATGTGCCATGCAAAATTGTGCACAGCTTTAATAAGCTTAAATGTTCCCTCTATCAATGTTTCATTCTAGCAATGAGAAAAACAAGCTACATAATATTGCTAATGTTCGTGTGCGTGTAAGCGATATTATTCTTTCCCAGGCAAGGGATCCCTAATTACCTGTAATTCTTTCTCATCTTTTACCCTTAAAATTTACCATCATAACTCTGAATTTCTTGCTTTCCAAAAGTTTCTAGAGCAACTTTACTAGAGTTCTTGTGATGAACAACAACCTGTAAGGGACAAAAGGCAGATCTATGTGTGGGTCCAAGGGCGGCTCAAGCAAATTTGAGGCCTAAAGCGGAAACATTAAATGGAGGCCTTTTTATTTTTAGTATTATTTTAAAAAAAAAATTAATTTTTTTTTAATTTTCTATGTGAGAGAGAGACAAAAGAATTGTGTTTATATTGTCGAGAAAGAGATTTCAACTTTTATTTTTGTTTTTTACCACAGAGAGGGAGAGCGTGTTTAATTTCAACTTTTTTTTTTGTTTTTTATTTTTATTTTACCAAGGGGAGAGAGAGAGAGTGGGTGAGAGTAAATATGAGTTGACTTTTGAGTATTTTTTTAATTTCTAAGTTTTTAATGTTATTGGTTGGATTATAGGCACAAATTATTACAATAAAAATTTTGATTAGATTTAATTTTTTGGGACTTTTTTGTAGGGCTTAAAATTTAATGGATTTAATTTTTTTTGTGGGCTAGTGATGTACGTAAATTTATGGGACCTTCTAAAAATTTGGGGCCTAAAACCCATACTTTTTTTTCCATATTGTTGGGCCGGCCCTGTGTGGGCCAGGGGACATTGGTCGAGCCTCAAATTTTTTATTTCTTGATTTTATACATATGTTATTTTATTATTTACTTTAATATTATTTGTTGTGTCCACCCTTGAATTGACCTTAATTTATATATTTGTGAGTTCTTTTTGTTGTAAATTCATAATTTAAAGGTAAAATTGTTTGTATTTGACCTACAACTGATCCCTTTTTGTCTAAGATTGATGATTGACTAGTTTAAATTGGATTCTTGTGATATTATTATTCTTACTTCGTAAGTTTTTATTTGATAGCTTTGCAATTTTTATATAAAAATATAAAAAAGAGGTCAGGGTCAATTCAAGGATCGAAATTTCGTTTCGAAGTACCGTTTCGGTCAGCTCAAAAATGAAAACGTTTCGGAAACGCAGAAAAAATATGAAAACGCATAGAAACACAAATACAATCCATTAATTTATAAAGATATGCTAAATAATTGATTAATTCAACATATTTATTGGGTTAACATCTATTTATATAAGAATAAATTTAAATTTGAGGGAAAAAAAGACTTGACATGAGGCGAAAATCACTTAAATTAGTTTCAAACACTTAATTTTTATGAAATAAACACATTTTTACATAATATTAAGGTCTTATAATACATATGAAATGCTAATGAGTACATACTTACATGGCTACATCCATCCCCCTGTAGAGTGTCGAGCAGGCTCATACATC